AAATTTAGGGTTATAATTTTAGGGTAATAGATATATACCTTTGATTTTGGTTCACCTTCAAAAATAATTACCCATATATATATAAGCTTAATAGTTTTTTTTAAAATTTTAATTTTTTGAAATATTTTTTTAGATATTTTTAAACTAACTGTATTTATATATTTTGATTATATCTTAAAATAGAATCCATAATTTTTTGATTTTTTTTAAATTTTTTTCAAATGTTATTAAATAAATAAATTGATTTAAAGATTATACTTTTTATATATAATTGCTAATAAATTATTAAGAATTTTACCAATATCCAGATACTCTATGTCCACGATGCGAGCTCCGCACTGAAGACATTTAACATGTTTTTAAATATTCAGAAGCATTACAAGCAATGGAACAAATCATAAAAACTATTAATTAAACTCTTCACCCAGACAATAATCACAAACCAATATCTTACATATGGCAAGTCGTCAAATTGTCATGTGGAATTATAGACAAAATCTTCTCCACCTCAACCTCTACCAATTGGATCAAGGCAGCAACAGAATCCTTAACCCTGTTATATAACCTAATTTGGAAATCACATTGCTCCACAGCCAACACTTCATCTCTTACTGGAATCAAGTGGAACCATACTAAGTCATATAATTCAATCAACTCCACCAATCCAGAAACCAAAAAAACCTCACAAACCAAAAACAACTCCAACAACCTGCAAGAAAATATTATTATCGACCTACCTTTTACTGTTGCTAATTTATTCATCCAATTTAAATATAACTACTCCAAATGTATTTATAGCTTAACAACTCTATCTGCTAATATTAACTCTATTTCTTCTGATGCTAAGTAGATATTCATAGCTGCTCGGTGCCATCTGGCAAGATATATTGTTTTAAACTTTCTTTTCAATATTAGTCGTATGGTTACTGTAGGCAAGCTAGCATTTAACTCATTGTATCAACACATAAGAGATGTTGTTTCTTTCACGATGTATATCATGTTATATATAAATCAAATAAAAAAATGATGTTTACCTACAAAAAAAAAAAAAAAAAAAGATTTTTTAAGAGAAAAGAAGTCAATAAATTATAGGAAAAGAGGAAAAATTGCTTAAGAATTATTTACTATTATTCTTAAGCTTCAACAGTAAAGAAACCAATTAAACAAATTTATAAGATAACAAAAAAAAAGAAAAAAAACTTATGAAAAGACTTCAAGAAATCCTGTGAAGCAAGATCAAAGAAGAAAAAAATAATTAGAAATATAGAATGTAATCAAGATAAACTATAATGATAAACTGTAGGCAATGGCTTTAAAATATATTTCAAGACAAGTATTTAAGAATAAATAATTTTATTTATCTTTAAGATTATATCTAGAAATAGTTTTATCTAAAATAGGTATTCAAGTATTATATTTAAAAAGTTTGTGCATAAAAGTTATTAAACTGATATGTATTCTATATTAGAAATAAATAAACTTTATAATTACAGTACTTGTTTGATTACAGAAAAAAATAAAAAATAAAAAAATAAATATTTATTAAAATTAATTATAAATTTTAGTAAGTATTAATATTGTATTTTGTATTTTTTAAGTTACACTTTTTATAAATATATAAATACTATTATTTTAAGTATGCCCAAATGCATTATTTTGAAATAATGATATTTTCAAGTTTCAGCCTGAATTAAGCTTAATTTGAACAAAAAACATGTTATTCATATATATTATTTTGAAATGCCCATGGGCAATTTTACAATACTTGATTTTAAAAATAACGCCCATGGTCATTATTTCATGCTTATATGGTAACAAATAAGTTAAAAAAAATATGTTATGTATATGGACAGATATGGTTTTGAATAGAATTGAAGTATTATATAATAAATAATTGATATAGCTTGTTTTAATTAATTATTAGCATTAGATTATTAAGATAGTATAGATTTCATAACTATTATTAAAGTTTCTTTTGTATTATAATTATAATTTATAAAAAAAAATAATATTATTAATTAATAAGAATAAAAGATTTGGTCTTTTTCCATAATAAATTGAAATGTAATATTTTATGATTAGAAAAGTTATTATTTAAGTAAAAATCATTTTCGTTATTCTTTTTTTAATAAATTTCTGTATAATACAGATTAATGCATTATAAGAACAGATAGGATATGTGGAAAATTCATTACCTAACTACAGTATATCGTCGTTAACATGGCTGTTCTATCCTCAAATCTCTTGTACATAATATATTAAAGATCACTTAAGACAGCATTATACAAGATGTAGAGACTCCTAAATGCTCAATATGGCAAAAATTAATAAAGTAACATGAACTACTGTCATATATTACTTTTTAACCACGTACTTATGTGATGTGCATCGGAAAAATAAAGTATCGTCATGTTATACCCGTGAGTTTTTTGGCAATTCTTGCTTCGGAGTTTCTTTCCATCCTTCTCTTTTTACGTTGAGCTATCAATTTTTCTCTCGTATAATGGACATACAACTGTATAATAATTATCATATCATTACCAAATAGTAACATTTTGGAATAGATAATAAATTTGTGCATATACTCCCTGCCCATTTTATTAGGGCTTCATACATAAAACGAAATTAGGCATATCTACCCAATCTTTTGGGAGACTGAAACGGTCCACTTCGAACAAACGATATGCTCCTAATAATCGAATAAATTGCTATATATGATATTTTACGTATTACATACCACAAGCAGTTGCACCATATACTCGAAGGCCTGTATATACTTGTCTCCGTTTCTGAAGCCTCTGATACAATTATATAGTTAAACAGTTGTATCATGATGTTGATGTTCTTATCGTCGTTAACATTTTTTCATTCCTCGCCTCTGATTTGCCCCTTCCATGCAAACGATTTGGTAGCTTGAGACATCATTAAGGTATCCAACACCATCTGTCATGACTTGCTTTCCTTGCAAAGAAATTTCACCGCTAATGAAATTATGTATTTAATTTTAAGAAAATAAAATAGAGATATAAAGACAGTTTCAACTTACGATATAATTAACACTTGCGAAAATCCACAACGCATTTCATTAACGGATGTATAAGAGATAAGGCCTTTCTAAAATCGTAACATCTCTCAAGGGGTTTAGTGCATCTAAAGAGAAGGCCTTTATACTATACGTAATAGTGTATTAGTAATTCGTAAAATGGGATACCCTAAAACTTACTTACAATCGTCCTAATGTTCCCTTAAGCAGTTCTTTTGTACCTTGCAGTAATTCTGAGTCTTTTTCATTAATGACTATTCTCTTAACTGAATCATACCATCCTTGTTTACCGTGATCAGCATTAAAAAAGTCGGTGAGAAAATTATGAATTTCATCTGTTATATAATCCTTGTCTATTTCGTCGAAAATTTCATGTAGAATTTTATCTTTCAATTATCAATCTAAGGAAAGGGATAGTTCTGAATGTAGCTGGAGGTCCATAACAAGGTAATTATTGAATTTTGAACGATATATTTCTAGAATATCTAGATCAGCCCGAGTTGTTGATACATAGCAATCAATAATATCATAAACGATTATCTATAATAAGACAAAACGAATTAATATTTTCTTACCATATCCGTATGCATTGCAAATAAAAGATGCGGACCTTGTTTTCATCTAAATATTCTTCTTCGTCTATGTTACCGTCGCCGGCATCTTCGTCATCCTCATTATTGGTGATATCATTATTGCTGTTTACTGCCTTCCTCGTTATTGGCGCTATCATTATTGTTACTACCTTCCTCATCATCGGCATTTTCATTATTCTGCTGAACAGTAATTAAAATTTTAAATATGCGTCCACAATTGATAAAAGACCAAATCAGAGTATTAATAATGTTACCTTTGTCTATCTTGACAAAGGTGTTTAATTCTTGGTATACTTTCACATTTGTTTCATGAATTTCATCACGAATTAACCTCTATCGTATAAAAGTTATCAAAGTTAGTTACGAACTTAGTTGAAAGTTTGTGATCGAACGCACAGATTTTTTTTCAATAAGCCACAATTCCCAATCCGAATTCCATTATTAAGGAAGAAAGAGATACAATATAATATAAGTAAAACAAATTTGGTTAAATACATTAATAGTTTCTTTGAGATTTCTTAGTTTTGACTGTTTTTCTGGGTTCAATAGCCTCATAAAGGCATTTTACATACCTTTCAATTGCATGAGATTTATGTGTTGGCATGATAAAACGAAAGAATTCTAGGGGAGTCGGATTGTTATATGAAATCATCCAATATATGTGACGTTGTTTTAATTTCGTCCGTGAAGAAATCATACTTGGGAGATTAGTGCATCTTGTTTTTTAAAAGTTAATTAATGACCTTGAAGGTACTGTTGTTTACTCAACGGCCGGTCATCCCTAGACGATGACTTGCCAATTAATTGGCTTCCGATAGAACTCAGTTATCGCAGACGCCTTGAGTACCCAACAAACACCAAACAACTTTGTATTCCCGAAGTCAGCCGGCCATCCCTGGACGATGACTTGCCAATTAATTGGCTTCCGATAGAACTCGTTATCGCAGACGCGTCATTCGTTCTTAGCAAAGTTGTCGTAAATTATAGAAAGAAGGAAATATATATATATCTATCTATATATCTACCTCACTCGAAAGAGGTTTAAAGAAAACCGTGTAGCGTGTGTATGTTAAATGTGTGATCACAGGTGATGCGCAAGTGCTGTGATGCATAAAGAACACCTGCGGTCGAAGCAACTAAAAACTGGGTGAACAGCAGCAGAGTTTAAGTTTCTCCCGTGCGTCGACTGTGCAGCACCTGTGTAGGTGTGCTTTCAGGTGAAATTTCCGAATTATGCCTAATATATTTAAAAAATATTATTAAATAAAAATTCGCGAAATTGTAAAATTCGTTACGGGTGAGGATGTTGCACGAGTGACGTACGGGGAACATTTTTATGCAACCCAAAATAGTAACTTGAACTCTGCAGTAAACAGCACTGTCACGTTATATTAAGTGAATTATTCGGTTTGTGGCTTAAACTCTGGAGTGACTTTTCGACCACTTGGAAGTAAACAATGATTCGAATGAGAATGACAGAAAAGGAACAATATGCAACGTCTTCATGAAGTAGGACATTGGGGTGAATTTAATTCGTGAAAAAAGGAACACCTTATCGGTTTAAGAACGAAAAATGCATTAGGAACAAAACAGACATTAATAACGTACAACTATCTCATGTTGCTTCACCATTCTTGTACCCATAGCAGTATTGTACATTTTGATTGTCCAAAGAAATTTTTGACTGTCCATATTTGTGTCTGTGCTTGTCCGCGCCTTATGTAACGTTCCTATTGAGCTGAAACTTTGTAAATCTATGCAAAATTACAGAGGAACAACTTGACAACTTTACTTAAGATATTCAAACTAATTTTATCAATAAAATATTGCATAAAGTTTGTGTATAAGGGCATGTCCTAAAATGTCCTATGTACAATACTGCCCATCTGCCCATAGTATTGTCAATGATGATTTGATGATACCGTCTTACAGCTCTAGATATAGATGCTCAACAATAAATATTAATGCAACCAACCGTTAGTCCCTTAGTAATTCTTTGTAAACACAAACTCAATATGGTCATTTTTCCATTATAGTTAGTAGTGAATCCACCTACAAAAAAATTTTCTTGCGAGCTTGCAACAATGTTCCGGTGTTTGTCTAGAATTGGCAATTGTTAAGCATATATGATCAGACGTACATGAAGTGAAATCAAAACGAGTGTATGATACAGTATAAATAAAACCACGCAAAATACCTATTGAAAAAAACCTGAAGTAATTAGAACATACATTTTAGTTCGATCAAGTGAAATCCGCACACTAAATCTATAAAGTTTTCCTTTCCTCCTTCATATTACTTCCGGAAGATATGGCATCCTCCCCAAGTAATGTTTGTTTATTTTTGTTGCACTTTACTATTAATTTTGCATTGTGACAGGAAGACACCTTCCACTTATACTGCGTAAATCATGACTCGTGCTGCAATTACTATTTCTGCTTTTTATTTAAGGCGCATCGCGAAATAATGGCGTTTTCATACCATACGAACTTCAGAGGCTCTCCAAAAGAAACTTAATCCAAACAATTGGAGATTTAGAACAAGGTTATGATTGTTATCCTTAATTGTACGTAATTTGGACACGATTATAGTATTAATCCTTTATAAACTATCCCAGAACTTGAGAAATATAAAGAAGAAAACAAAGGTCATTACAAACGTATATTTAGAATTTAAGATAGTCACAAACCTAACATTTCTAATAACATTAGAATTAGGGGAAAAGATTCAAACTATAATCACGGATTTTGAAATTGAAAAACAGAATTTCATTTATAATTTTGAACTTATTACAAAATTTCATGGTATTATTTACCTCATCGTAATTACAATTATCGTCTAATGTAAAAATCAATGTTCTCACATCTCATTTATTCATTCAATATTAGATATTTTAATACAAGAAGTCGAGAAAATTAAAACAAGTTTTCGTCTTTTTAGGAATAGGTTCGAACAACTTAACCCAGGATTACAAGGTATCGACATTAATCATTTATCAGCTTCGATCATTTGACATAAAAAATAACATTTGTTTAAAATTGTAGATCAGGAGACCGCCCTGCATAAACTCGAGGATATAATTAAGATTTTTAATCAAGGATTTAATAACCAATAACTTCGCCCCACTGATTAAATGACAGGCGATAACTAATACAATAAAATTCATGACCTATCCAATTATAACGTAATTGGGGCTTTGGGGGATTCTTGAATAGTATAAAAAGGACATATAAAAGTAACCGTCAATTCTATCAAATAAATACAAATTAAATTACCTTATCACGTATTCACTCACCTCGTATCATAATCAACCACCTCTTTCGAACATTACACGAGGGCAATCAGCCCGTAGCGATAGACTCACCGTTATCATCTCAAAATTAAAAATTTTCAAAATTCTACCTGGTGGTAAATATCCCGTAATACTTTCCAATTACTCATACGTAATGCCTGAAAATGTCATTAAAAGCTACGGTTTGCAATGCACCTATAAAAAAACTTTTTAGGTGTATTCCTAATGCTAAATAAAAGGATAATATATATATATACTGTATATAAGTTAAAAAAAATTATTCGTAAAGACAATTGAAAAAAATCGTATTTAAGAATTTTTTTAATTTAAAATGTAATTTACAAGATTATAATCATCCTAAAGTTTTTAAACCATAAGCTTTTTTTTAATATAAAATAGGCTTATCAAAACTAAATTGACGATTAATAAAACAATAATACCCAATGAATTTATTATAAATTAATTAATATTATTATTGTATTAATTTCAATTGATTTTTATATAAAAATATAAAAAAAGAATGGTAAAGGTATTATTACTTTAAACTATAAAAAAATCAAAAAATCAAAATCAATTAATTAAAAAATTAACAATATGATTTTAATAAAATAAGAAAAAACTTTAAAAGATATAAATTTTAAAAGAAAAAAAAATTTAATTTTGATAAGAAATATATACAATATGGTGCAAAAAAAATGATAATTATATTTTTAGTTATAACTTAATAAATAATTATTGAAAATTTATGAAAATTTATAAATATATAGTTAAATATCTTATAAATAACTTTACCTAATACTGTTTTAATCAATATATTAGTATTCTTAAAAATAATTTAATTTTTATAATAAATAAATTTATAACAAAATTTCTTTATTCTTTTTTATATATGTATATAAACAATTTCAATCAGATGTTTTTATAATAATAAACAAAAATCTTACAAATTATCTTTATTATATTTTTAAATATAAATACTATATTATCTTAATCTATTTATAATTCAAATCCAAAATTAAACTATATATAATACAAATATACTTGTCACATAATCCAAAAACAAAAAAAAAATCACTATATATCTTTAAAAACTTATTAACAATAATCTTTCAAAAAACATTTCATATATTATCATAAGTAATTTTAATTCTACTCCTAATTCAATAGATAGAATTCAAAACTTGAATCAAAATACAAAATATTTATTTATAAAAAACTAAATAAAAACTTTATTAATATATTCTATCTATTTTTTTCTTATAAAATTCTATATATACTATATATACAGATTTTATTGGCTAAAATTATATTAATCAAATTTAAATAACAAATAATATTGTTATATAATTTATTAAGACTTAAGTTATCAATATAGAATCAGTATTCTATAGCTATTACAAAATTATTATACTTATTTTTTAACTTTTTAATTATAAAATCCTTCAAAGAATATTTGTTTTTTGCTAAAACTTTAATAAAATAATAATAATAACCTGAAAAACAATAAACACAACTTTTAATGATCTTATAAAACACATTTTTAAAAATTCAAATATTTAAAAGACCTGAAAATTCTTTAATATAAACATTAATAAAACACTTAATAAATTCATATCAAAAACAAAATCCAAAAAACTTTTTATAAATTTTTAACAAAAAAGATATATTATTTTACAAAAAACTTCAAACCATTAAGTTTTATATTCATAACTTATCTATACAAATATTATTTTTACTTAATACCAAATGATTTTAAAATTTTAAACTTTCATATTATAACAAAAATAATCAAATCAATTTATTAAAAAAATTATTCAAAATTGCTTATAAATTATTAAAAATTGAAAATAATTTTCAAAAAAAAAAATTAACAAA